GCCAGTCCAGCGGAATTGATGGCGGAGGACCATCGCTTCAATGCTGGTGGTCTTTGCTTCTTCCAGCATGCTGACATTTGTCCGTTTGTCTTTGATTTGCAGGATTTTTCAGAGGCAGCGCTGATGGAATCGTTCCAGGAGTTGCATGTGATGTCTGTAGACTGTCCACGTCTCACAGGCGTATAGCAGGGTTGGGAGGACAATAGCTTTATACCACTCTCCAACATTAGTACCAAAAAGGGTTACGAATCAGTTTTTGATCAACTTTAAATTCGGTGTGGTTATTTGGGGTGCTGATTCAGAAAATTGCTTTGGATAGACCACATCAGCTCTAGTTTCTAATACAGAACATATATCATCCAATAGATGCCATTTGCTCGCACACAGAAAACTATATTTAATAATCTAGAGCTGATGTATCTATCCAATGTAATTTTTTGAATCAGAACCCCAAATAACCCCAGGAACAGGCCTAAAATGGAGGACATCAAGGCGGCCCCCCTTCTAGGCACCACATGGAACGGTTCCACTCAGGAGGAGGAGAAGGAGATGCAGCAGTCAGGAGGCTTGTTGTTGCACCTTTCATGGGTAGTCAGCCTCTCCCCTCCCGATATCCCCATTGCCTCGGTATTATAAGAGGTTTTTGTGAGACCCATTGCTCTCGTTGCAATGGTGTAGTAATGTTGAGGCCGTGGACCGTATTTTAGTTCTTGCGGACCACTGATGGTCCATGGACCACAGACTGGGCACAACTGCACTAAATACATCAGAATCCAACTCTTTAACTAGACTCCTTTGACCTCTTCCTTCCTTCTTTGACTCCCCTTTCCAACTAGTCCTTTCCCTGTATGTGGCCTGGTTTCCAGTTCCCCTTTTAGCATATACACATTTGTTTCCTGCAAAGCCTGTTCCTTTTTAAAGAACTGCCCTGCTGCCTGGGGGATTCTAGGAATTGTAATCTAGAAGATAAATGTGTAAAGCTTTGATCTCTTGCAGGAAAATCCCAGTTCTACTTTTTTTGCCATTATCCTTTTCCTCTGGCTTCTTCTATCACAGTCACCCACAACCCTTCATGGTCTACAACAATCTACATTTCTAGGATGAGGAACATCCTCAGATTTGTTAATTCCCATGAACCGCATAATTTGATATTCTGGATAGCAGGACTGACAGAATTTGTAATCCAACAAAATGTGGAGGTCTATAGTTTCCCAACCCTGCTGTGTACAGACTACAGAGCTACAGATTACATTTCCTTTTTGTACAGAACCTGCCTTCTATGTACTAATCCATTTTATATAATCTTGTATAGAATTTCCAACTCCATCCATATCAGATACTGAGAGTAATATGTTACTTTTTATATTGTGATGTTGGTAATATTAAGAAGCAACAGAATTTCTTTTCTTTTTAAAGTGCAATAGATTTGTTACCCTCAAAATGTTACTCTGGGGCTTCATTTCCGGGGGGGGGGGGGGGGGGGGGGTGTCTTTAAAAAGACAAATACAACTTTACATTTCAAAATCAGTATTCCAGGTAAAGGAGGAACATCCCTTACACAGAATTCCAAAATCTAAAATATTCCAGAATCTGAAATTGTTCACATGGGTAGCTATGACAGTGACATCTTTGTTTTTTCAGGATTCAACATACACAAATGCTTATAATAAATCATGTTATTTAATACATTGCGTATAAACTTACCTTCTGACAATCGAATCCCATCTTCAAAATATTTCGTGTATATATGTGTAAAAATAAATAGTCCAAAACCTGGAAAAAATACTTCTAGTCCCAAGCATTTTGGATAAAATAGACTCAAGCTATAATGACCCTATGCATCAGGACAATCAAATATTGTGATACACTCATTTCTCTAAGAGTTTGTCATAATCGAAACAGTCAAAGGACTTAGTATCTCTACATACAAAAGTAAACATTTATATATTTATGGTATTTTTACCCCGCCTTTCTTGAACTTGAAGGTGACTCAAGGCGGCTTTACAACATAGGCAGCTATTCAACGCCATTAAATTTTTTTTAAAAAAAATGTAATTTTAATTTTCTGTAAAAATTACAGAATTATAAAATGCATACAATAAAACATTTAAAAACATATAAAACCACTACCCTCACTATTGGCCTTGTCATCCTAAAGCATCATCTAAGCCGTTCCAGTATTTGATTTCACATAGTTCCGTGTTTATCTATTGCACTAGGTTCCCAAAGGATTGTTCAAGAAGCCATGTTTTAACTTTTCTGTGGAAGGTCAGAAGGGAAGCGGCTGATCTAATATCCCTTGGAGGGAGATCGATAGCTGAGAGGCCACCACTGAGAAGGCCCTGTCTCTCGTCCCCGCAAGTTGCGTCTGTGAAGAAGGCGGGACTGAGAACAGGGCCTCCCCAGATGATCTTAAACTCCTAGATGGTTCATAGGGAGAAATATGTTCAGACAGGTAAGCTGGGCCAGAACCATTTAGGGCTTTATAGGCTAAAGACAGCACTTGTATGTATGTATGTATGTTCCACAAAGGCTCCTACATGGCATGATGGATCTGGACCATGCTTGGTATATGTCCCTTTCCTTCCCCAACTGGCAGGCAGGGTGTCATTTAAAAAACCCACCCCTTTCATGGCCAAGGCTTCATGTATATACATATGTATGGTGTAGAGCTCAGGTGTAAATACAAGAGGGTGCTATAGAGATAGAAAAGGTACCCTCAAGAGGGAGATAAAAAAAAACGGAAATATGCTATTAGAATGTGAGCAGGGCAACAATCTAAAGCCCTTCTACACTGCCATATGATCCAGATTATCAAGGCAGATAATCCACATTATCTGCTTTGAATTGGGTTATTTTGCTTGGGCTTGGGAGATGGTGGTGGGGTATAAATAAAGTTTATTATTATTATTATTATTATTATTATTATTATTATTATTTTACTGACACAAAAAAACAGTATGTCACAGCTAACGAGATCTATATGCTGGATTTCGTATCACAAAATCACAAGTGATGTATTTTCGAATGATGCGCGCAGATCCAAGTAAGGTGGCCTTTTGCAGTTGACAGATTGTGATTTTGTCGATGTTTATTGTTTCCAAATGCCGGCCGAGATCTTTTGGCACGGCACCCAGTGCGCCAATGACCACTGTACTGGTTTATGCCAGAGCCTTTGCAGTTCGATTTTGAGGTCTTCATAGCGGCTGAGTCTTTCCTGTTGTTTTTCCTTAATGCGACTGTCACCTGGTATGGCGACATCAATAATCCAGACTTTTTTCTTTTCCACAATCATGATGTCTGGTGTATTGTGTTCCAAAACTTGGTCAGTCTGGATTCGAAAGTCCCACAGTATTTTTGCATGTTCATTTTCCACGACCTTTGTGGGTTTATGATCCCAACAATTCTTTACTGTTGGCAGGTGGTACTTGTGACATACGTGCCAGTGAATCACCTGGGCCACAAAGTTTTTATTATTGGAATCATAGAACCAAAGAGTTGGAAGAGACCTCATGGGCCA